CAATAGAGGGAGAAGAGCCCTATTATTGGCCCAACACCTGCCTCAACTATGACCCCAACAGACGAACCGAATTCTGAGAATAACGATGACGCATGTGGCGGTAGAGAAGATGGGCCACGGCAGCCGTTAGTGCAAGTCGTGCTTGTTGACATGATGAGAGAGGTTGTAGGGGGTGATTGTGAATGAAGGTTTTGGGACAGATTGGTTAATGCTGACATTATGCCGGACTTACTGCTTTTGGTAGACACATAAAATTGACATCGAAGACAATGATAATCTCCTAGAACGCTTTCGTCATTTGTCCCAAGACTCAACGATAGATCTCCAGAAAGCTTCGTTTTGTTCCAGATATGTTCAGAATTGAATGGATAAATCTATGGAATAATTGGAGGTCTTTTACTGGGGCATTACCAGTAGCTTAAAATAAACCTTGTGCAACTTCTTCACTAGCAGAGCCAACGGTTCCAGAAAAAAATACCTGTCCACGGTTCTCCAACGATTAAAAGCTGTCTGCTGCCTCAAGATTCCTTAGATTTATATCTTGACTTTACTGCAATATGATCCCTCAGGAAATACGAACTATCTGTCATGGCCGTGTCAGGCGTAGAGCAAAAGATAATGCTGTATTACGACTAGATAATCGATTGGATAATTAAGACGATATCATATAACATTACATATACCGCATCATACCCACCAAACCGAACCTTCATATGCAAATGCTGATAGTCTATATGCTTTAAGCTTCTTCGTCCTTTCACTGCTCCCTCGAGCTCGGCCGCATGCCAACAGCAACCTCATAGGGAGGGGGCGGCGTCTCGGGACGAGAGATATCCGCCAAATCAATTACTATACGTGTTCGCTCTCTCCGCGCGACGTTACGGTTGACCCTATTCCTCCAGATTTTCCCGAAAAAGTATGCGCAACCAAGCAACCCTAACAAGAAGCCCGCAACGCTCCCAACAATCAGCCCCGCTATTTGGCCACTATTAAGCCTATTAGGGGACGACTCTGACGACACATCTATCACTGTGATGGACGGAGTCCCATTGGCAGTCGAGAAACTTGAATCAGATGAGATCGTTTTTGTCGCAACCGCTGTCACCCACGGAGAGCACTCCGTCACAGTTTCTGCCGTGATGTACTGAGTGATCTCGACTTCCTCGGCAACAAGATAGTCGTGAGCCGGATCGAAGGTTCGGGTGTATGATATATATGGTTCGTTGTTGATTGCTCCCAACCAGGTTGTGGGTGCTGTCACGGTTATGGTCCATGGCGGAGAATCAGGGAGGTTTAGCCGAGTGGCCACACAGGCCTCAGGAGTGAAGACATCAGTAATGCGGGAGGTCACAGTGTGGCCGAATTTGAAGGTGTGTTGTCTAGTGATGTCAAATCCAATGAGATAAGTCCCCGATCCCGAAAGCAACGGCAAAAGAGGGATAGTGACGGTCCTTGGGAGGAAGGTAACTACTAGCTAGCCATGCACTCACATTGGACAGCAAATTGATATCCGCGTAGTGACGCAGTCGACTTCATATTCGGTTGTCTTCGCAACAGTGTAAGACACAGGACAGTCGGTTTGTGAGACTTTCTTCAAGATGGGGTCTGATGGAAGACAGCCAGTGGCATGCGGCCACTTTGGTCCAAGCTCTAGCGTCTTCCATCCCAGGCCCGGACCCCAAAAACCCTCGAGACAACCAGGTGCTGGTGTGAGTCGTGTTAAGGGGAGAGTCGACGTCGCCGACGGGTCTATGGAAAGATCTGTAGGATTGTATGTCGAAATTGTATCCATGCTATTCTTGGTGGACAAGATCCTGGATGTTTGCTCTTATCACGATCGGATCTGGTGTAGCTTTCTAAGCCGCGTAAGGATCCAGCTTCAACCGTTAATAGGGTAACACGCATAACTGCCTTCAAACGCACGAGAAAGCATCAGCCCGGCTGGGACTTAGATTAAATGGGCACCCTTCAGAAATTCGCTGTAGCCTGTACCTGCAAATCAAAGCACAAGTTCCGAGCATGAACCCCTTTCATCATGGCATGGATTAACGCGGAGTGGCGCCAGTAAGCTTCAGGGACCCACGTAGGGAAGGACTGTGGGCCTATAGAGAGTCGTGCCCGACTCTCTGTCGCTGGAGAGAGTTGTACCGTCAGGACAAAATGCAGTTGGAGATAAGTCAGCAAACTCCCGAAATTCTACGGTCCTAGGAAATACTTTGTATTCGACAACCTGTCTTCAATAAATCCTGTCCATGATCATTTTAAGCCGGAAACTGGACGATGTACTAATGAGCAGCTGCCTGATCCGGAATACTAGCCTTGGTTCCTGCAGTGGAGCCACCTTGATCCTACAAAACTCGTAATGGTCTTTCCTACAGATACTCCCGCCTTATACGGGGTGATGCTGGTAACGTGTCTGCTGGTTGGGGGTCTCGGTAAAGCAAAATCTACGGTATCAAGACATGCGGAATTCTGAGTTGGTGATTCCAACATCAGCCATAAGTTCCCCGGTTTGTGGCTGAGGGAGCCGGAGCAAAGAAATAGGATGTAAGTCTACGTGTCAGGTGTGAAGATTGACTGTCACATGAGGACACGTTCAGTGAAGTTAGCATGGATGGCCTGTTCAAGCTTAATGGTATATGGCTTTCCAAAATGTAGTTGCGTTGTACCAATATCCCAGATCTGTCCAAGACACTCGGGAGCAGGTATGAAGCGTGGCGGCTTCATTGTTATCTCGCTTTCAGTTAACGCTCTTGGATGAAGAGCAGGCTTTCAAAGGCCTTAGCTGCAAAGCCAACGACAAGCTCCAATGCCGAATTAGTCAATGAAACCGTGCGCGTTGACAAGACCTTGTTTTCACAGTTGGGGGTGAAGCCGTTTGAGGAGGTTATTCTTAGACGGCGGAAAGTGGACAGCATCATGGTCTAGTGGATATGCGTGTTGATGACTGGACAAAAGCAAGCCAGAAGGCCGGGACCCAGACCACGTGGTTTCATCCTCCTAGGCCTGTTGAGGTTTTACGATCTACAAAGTTCGGATTTACTTTCATTTAATGCGTATTTTACTATGATTTCTATTCGTTCTTTTTCCTCCTCATAGTCATATCCGCCCAAGGGTTTGTTTGGGAAGAATGACGCAAAAGAAGGAAGTTGCAATTCCAGAAGCCGCCTGGAATATTGTTATTATCATCACTTGAATTTCGACCTTAAGTTTATGAGAAATATACCGATGCTGCTGAAGTTTCAAAATGCTACCCAAACAGATATGCAAAAGAGGAACAACAAACAAAATGTCTGGTCTCGTATACTGCTGCGACGACAGACATAAAGGAGATGGACCAGGTTACCTACTCTTCAGTGCGTTGTTGCCCACAGTAAGTTCAAGTGCTTCTTTAGGCCTTTCAATCACAGCACATGCTCACTGATCGGCAGGATGCATCAGCTTTCGTACGATCCCACGGTCATTGTTGACGGCACAAGACAAGTATTGGGCGGTTGCCAGGCATCCAGTCTTTCTCTCCCCGGTCAACCGCCATGGACTGTGACCATCTCTAAGGTTATGGATGGTTCACAAAGAGAGGTGGTGACAACTATTAATTCAAGTCGAGATTGGCTCTACGCACACTCGCTCCCAGTATACTACTCCATGGTGAGCAGCACTGTTTGCGGCACAGACTTTTGCAGCAGCCTCATTACTCCGATAACAACAACAGATAAACTATTTCCAGCACTCACTTCACACCCTGAGCCTACTGAAACATCATATAACGATGGGAAGAACCTCTCAGGAGCAGGGATTGCAGCGATAGTTGGGCCAATTGTCGGAGCATCAGCAGCTGGAGCCTTCCTTTACTGTTGCCTCAGGGGCTATTTGGATGAACACGAGGCAAAGAAGAGAAAAGAGTGTGAAAGTCAGCAGAACAATGCCGGAGGGGCAGCGTAACCTGTAATGAACAGATTGATGGCAGGCCAGGGACTCGAGAATCGGGCAGTCAAGAAGAGGACTAGTCTGCTTTGCTTTCTTGGACACAATCTGCTTTCGATATATCAGCTTCTTTTAGTTTAGCATATTCACACTTCTGGGCTGAAGATTACGTACTCGGAACATTGGATAATGGAGTCGGGGACAGCTTCCAACTGATGGTAAATTAACCATCTTTGGCTCACTTTGCGCTCAAGTGGACCTTCAAGTGTTAAAAAAAAATGATGATCTGATGAAACATGACAAGTTTTTCTCATCCATTGAGATTAAAATACTGCATTATATTCCACATTCCCTGACCATAATAAGAAATATGACAAAGGTAGTTGGGGAGTTGCCGAACATAATGCTGCCGTCAAGAGAAGGGGACAAATGACCCCCAATTCCACAGCTACGGGACCCCGCCCCCCCATCAGCCCTAAACCCCACATTCAACTCACACATTTCCCACGCATCCCAACCCGCGCCAGCAATCGAAGGAGGATTGATGCACAAAAATTTTTGTAAAAAAAGCTTCCCGGCCGGGAATTGAACCCGGGTCTCAGGCGTGACAAGCCTGCATACTAACCACTATACTACCGAGAACTGCTGGTGTAAGAATTTGCAAAAGACTGTAATATGAAGGACTGCTCTCAGACCTGCCGACTTCTGTGCTTACGGAAACGGATATACATATTCAGAAGGACAAAAGGACAAAGTAGACAGTCAAGCATCTATGGGTAATTTAAATTCGGGCTTGAAAAAGGATGGAAAACAAGGTCTCATAGCTAACGACCTCGCTGCTTTTGCTATCAATATCTTATCGATAATGTATTATCTTATCGTAGTTCAATACAGCTTTGCCGACCCGAAGTTGTCCAATTGAGCTGTACCATTTAATAAGGGGTGGATTTGTTGCTCGTAGTATTTCCATTTCCTCTAGAAAATCTAGCACAGAGTCCCATCACCGCAAAATTTACATCCCTATTGGGACACCTAGAACAGAGCTTCCCTTTAGCAAACCACAGCCTTTCCGACGCCTACTCTCTTTCTTCCCTTCCCCTTTTGTCATCCTTACTTCCCTCCTCCTCCTCCCCCCACTGGTCCTTCACCTCTCCTCCCTCAACCAGCCTGCCCAAATTCAGCCTCACACTCCATCTCACGTACGGCACCACCTCTTTCTTTCCCCTCAACAACCCTCCACCTGCAGCCATAATGTCCGACTCCCCGCCATACACATGCCCAAACAGTGGCGGTGAAGCCGTCACGCATACTCTCTCCCTCCCTTTTAGCTCATAGACCTGCTCTTCCCTCTCCTCTTTATTCTTTTTCTCCCCCTCGTTCCCTGAATCCAGCTTGTGATCGTCAGGCTCAACTCCATCGCACCACTCCCCCAAAACCAAATCCCACCCGAGCCCCCTACCCAACCCCTCCACCACACCAAACCTCCACAACAACCTCCTCGCCCCACGCTGACTGACCGCATACGCCTGGGTACACGTCATGTTGTGCGCAGCATGCACCAACCTGGTATGAGGCGGGTATTCTCCTGTCCATGGGTCCTGTCTCGCAAAGGGATGGGGGCGCATATGTTTCGGCGGGGGAACGGTTTCGTCGTGGGGGATGGTGATGCGTAGATGGGGAGGGACTTTCGGGTTTGGGGATGGGCCCTTAGGGAGGGAGGTACCGCAGTGACCTAGCCAGAGAACGTCCCAGTCTGAGGGGGGCCCGTAGGGATTGGCGTGGGGGTTCGGCGCAGGGGGAAGTTGAGTGATGGGGACAGAGAGGTTATCATGGGTGAGGCGATGAAAGGATGCCATGGTGTGTGGGCCGGGGGATGACGGGGTTGTGAAGGCCGTTGCGGCGAGGGCGAAGAGCTGTAATTGGGATTTGAGACGTATGTCCCAGTCGACGTCGTCTTCGAAGATGAGGGCTGTGGTGACGTTTTCTTGGACGATGCTGGGTTGGGATCAGTTAAGTCTGGTCTCTTATTACCTTTGGCTGAAAGGGTGGTGTACCGTTGCAAAACGTTCATGTGCGCCCTCCAGGAACCGATGTTTCCGATGGGCAGAACCTTTGCCCCCTCTTTGCCAGGGAGAGCTTTCTCTGAGACATCCTCGCCTTTGACACCGTCGACCCAGGTGATGTCAATGCCAGTAAAGGCAGCAGCTAAGGTTAAAATGTCGCGCCTGTCGGTTCGGGACGGTAGGTTAATAGCGTAGATGCGTTGGAACTGCAATCAGTGCTCTTTGTCAGATCTCAGCTCACCCAGCCGGACGCTCTCAACAGCTTGTGACCGAGGGTGGAGGGAGTGAAGGTTACTAACACCAAGCGTTGAGTTAAGAATGCTTGGAAAGGCGCTCCTGGCTACTGCCACACGATCAGAGGGATCAACCGGCTTCCATGTATGATGGATGAGCCCTAGGAAGAGAGTCAAGGAAACGGTGACGAGAAAAAGCTCGAATTGGCGGCGGATGACCATCGCTTCACATGGCAATCGTGATCGAGGAGCCAATTAAGTTTGTTGGCAGATGATGGGAAGGGACAGATCTGGAATTACTATGTGATTCTCACCGCAGAACTGCCAGGCTGTCGATGTCATACATGGCAGTTCCCATGGCAATGGATAAATCCGGATAAAACCATAAACCAGCCAGACGCAAACACAAGTACCAACGGGGCGGTTTCATCACCGCAGTGTAGCCAATGGACTCAGGCTTGGCATTAACATCCCATCTAAAGTTATATAGAAGTCTGGTATGTTCGCATCGTAGTGGCCTAGAAGACAGCTGTATATGACCATCCCCTTCCCTGCAAACCAAAATCCCAAACCAAAAAATAAAGCCCATCCTGTCAGGACCTTTCATCCCTCCTCCTAACCTGCCTCCTCCTAACCCGTAGGCACCAGCACCCTTCCTTCTACCCTACCCAACGGCAAATAGCCGCAACGCCAACCCTGAGATTTCAAACCGGCAACTCGATCCTGTTAACGGGATTTCCCAGCAGCGTCCAAGCCACTAGAACACTCTGGACAAACTCGTAGGCATCCACACCGCCCTCAGCACAACCCGTCTTTACCCATACATCCCCATCTTTCGCATCCAACACGTCAACAGACACTCTTCCCTCCACCCATCGCTCCATCCTGATATTCCTAGCAGGCGGCTGCCCCAGCTCCGGACGCAGCTCCAGCTTGTAGTCGACGAAAGAGCACGGCTTGCATGTCCCGGAAGTAGGGGGGCAATGGAAAGAACAATAAGCTGTTGTTGCAGTTGCTGCCAAGGTCCCCCGATAAATATGCGCGAGACGCAGCCGCACCGCTCATGACGGCCGTGGATGGGCGCCACCAGAAGAAGTAAGGTGACATGAAAGTCTCTTCGACGATCGGCCCTAGCTCTTCGCCTATGAGGCCGGTGAGCGTGATTAAGTATTCCTCGCTGAAGTTGGTGCGGGGCGGATCTGGGTAGGGAGAGGGAGAGGAGACATTGGCAGCTGTTCCGGTATTGTTGTAGTTTGCGTTGTCGTTTTGGTTGTTATCACTGTGGTCTCGCGTCGACCGGAAATAGGCCGCTGGCTCACCGAGCTGCACAACGAACCAGTCGTCGTACAACTCGCCCAAAGTGTCGGTATGTTGCTCAATGGCCAAGTACTCAATCGAATTGTTGTACCAGGCCTGGTCGTCCTCTGCGAGGATGTCTTCGCCGCACAGGGAGATAGCGTCGTTATCGTCGGCGGTCAGCTGGTCGAGGGCCAAACGACTCAGTACCATCGACGTACTGGGGGCGGGAGGAGCAGGAGCAGGGCCTTCGTCCGGACTCAGAAAGCCCAGGGCATGCTCCCACGTAATATCTTGGATCATCTCCTTGAAGAGCCGGACCTTCTTCACCAGGCACTCCCGCAGCAATCTGGCGCGGACAGCGTCTACGTCCTCCTGCTCGCCCCCATCATTGTAAAATGGCCAAGCCCGACAACACCCCGCGCATTTCTTACATGCCGGCATCGCCCCGGACAGCAGGCGGTCATCAGCTCGCTCTTTACTCCCGGCGGGTGAACAGTACGCACCACTTATAGTGGTACAGCAGGCGATCACAGCCCTCATAGGCGCGCTCCTTCTCAAACCAGAAGTGCCGGTCCTGGCTGCTAAATTGAATAAGAATATGTCTGATGCAGCGTGACGTCTCCCTCCGGAGCCTACGCTTCTCATGATCGTCCCCCATAAATCAACCCAGCGACTCCGATCCAGCCGCCTGCTTCATTTGCTGGATCCGGACAGCGCCCTTTCCGTCTCCGTCGGGATCGGTCAGCACGACGGCGTCAGTCACATAGTTGAACTCGACAGCACGGTGCTTGTGGTGGCCATCGTAATGGGTCTGCCAGATGTGTAGTAAAGTGCGGCCTGGAGCGATGAGCTTGGCTTTGACTAGGGCATCGACCGAGGACTCTAGCAGGTCGTTCTTCTCGCTAAGCCTGATGCGGCGCGCCCAGCCCGAGATGAGACGTTTTGTACACTCGTTAAGGAGACAGAGCCGCGCTGTGGCGCCGTCGATGGTGTTCGTGCTATTGTCTTGCTCTTCGGGCAATCATCGATAAGTCAAGCAGACGGCGAGGTGGTACGCTGCCGGTAGTTCAAAGTGATGCTTTAGGATTTCGTCCCTAAACTCCGCGGGGAGCCTGGGAAAAAGAGATAAGAGTGGCGATGCCATTGTGAGCGGGTGTTTTCGCACGAAGCTATGCGTGTGAGAGTCAGAGTACCGAAGCTGTAGTAGCAGCAAGTCTGAAGTTTTGTTGTTGGGGGGGGGATATCCAAGAGGGAATAGACTTTGGGGTTACATGCCCGAGGAGCAGGGACATCTATCAACATCTGGGGAATAGCGCAACCGTTGCCACATAGCAACTGTCGACTGGCCGAATGCATTAGGTAAACATTGCTTATCTGTTATCTTAGGGATAGCATTTTTAACTGCACGCCTGCAACTGTAATTTCCAGGCAATCGTTCTTGCCCAACTCCTCTCCCTATAATGGAACTTTACTTCACGTATGTGCGATGGACAATGCCCCAAGACCAACCAGAGACGCGACGCTTGATGTGCTCGTTACTAAGACGGTTGAGCGGTGTTGTAGCGCCATTAATGCGGATCGTGCTGTTGATTGCCTCTTGTTCTTGGGTCGAGCATAGCGTGGCGAAGCAAACCGCGAGCGGGCTGCTCTGATCATTACTAGGCACCAACAGAAGATTGTAGAATTGCGCCGAGGCCATCATTTTCCCGTAGTTCCCATCGGTGATGACCGCAATGCAATCAATGCTCATCCATATCGAGCTTCAACTAGCAACGCTCCTCCCAATCTGGACCATTTTCACATACCAGGCTAACATCATCCATCACATGCATCCAAGCGCGTAGTTTGTAACCTGCTCTTTCTGTTTCTTCCATCACCAAATGCCCGCTGTAGCCTAAAAAACAGGCTGTGGCCAAGTGGTAAAGACGCGAGCGGTACCATTTCGATCCATGGCAAAGTTGAACCGGCCCTCATACACTGGCCATGCATATCTGGGAGACATCCCGGTCCGATTGGTGTCAAGAGCAAACATTTTCGGTTTATAGGGCGATGTCAGTTGGCTGGGATTCCCAGGTGTATCTCACAGGTCGATACTGAGTGAGAGTGCCGGCCAGTTAGGTGGTCCTCGAGGAACTAGAATTTTCGCAACCAGTGAATATCTCCCTCGGAAGGGCGGGGAGGAAGGGGGGTGGGGGTTGTATGGAAAGGAGTGAGGTGAGCTTCTTGTTGTTGGTGTGGGTGGTTTCTTGTTTTTTGCCTGGGCCCTAACTGCCCATAAAGAACTGTTTTGGGTTACATATGCCTATTTTTCCCAACCGTGATGTTGTTACTTGAATTTTTTTTGTCTATCATCTACCAAAGCTTATCAATCCTGGAGCATCTCTCACCGCCCCAGCAGCTCTTTTCTATCAAGTTGCTCGTTTCCTCCTTCCATCCTGTTTTGATTATCTATCGTAGGATTATTTCTTGGGTGAAGTGCTGGCTGATCTGTGCTGACCTGACATGAACTCCGTGTTAGCAGGAAGAGTAGTTTCGGTTCCGCTGTTAGATCGCCCTTCATAGGGTCTGCCAAATTAACACAACTTTAAAAGTAAAGTAAGCAACCGGTTTTCAAGTCCATCTCAAAATAAGAATCCGGGAGATATTTGCCCTAGCCCGTAACTTTTTTATTACGTAGGGGATTGAAAATCTATTCGAGGAAGTTCAGAGGCTAGGAGAAAGGGAATAGCTAAGGCCAGCTAACAATAGCAGACTGTAACAATTTGAGAAGGCCTGGTTGGCACACTCGTACATGACAAGAGCATAACAATAATGTCTAGCCAACCCGCCATATCGAACGAAGGGTAACAACGACACGTTCTTCCAGCATTGGAGAGACAAGACATCGAACCGATGACGTATGGCTACGCTGTCTCCCTTGATGTTCGTCATGATCGTCTTGCCCTTTGTCAGAGTGAATAATAGCCCGCTTGGGCATTTCCCCCGTTTATGTACGGATCCGTGTTTTACGAGAGGCCAGAGTTTATTGGCTCTCATCTCCAATCATATCCTACGAACATGTGTTATCTTGAAAGCACCCTCTCACTCTTACGAAAAAAAGAAAAAAAACCAAGCGCATTCAGCCTACCTACACCTGTACACGCAAAGAATTGGTTTCGAGCTACGTGGTGTAGATAACAGCACGAAATTTACCTACCTCCCTTCAGCTGACCCCCATGCAACATCCCACGCCTAATCCAGCAGCATGTAGTATAGTCGCGTGGGCGCTCAGAGGGCTAGATATGCTGTGTAACCACGAGGCCGCACGCCCGGCGCCGCAGCCCCCAGCTCCTGCCTGAACCTTTGAAGTCTGGGCATTCGTCGGTCCTTGGGAGCAATGTGCCAAGGAGGACAAACACAGCGCACTCTCAGCCTCGAGCGTCGCGGGGATCGGCGGATGCAGGTACGCCGCAGCTGGAGGACGGGTGTGCTGCGCGCCTGTTGCGCGACAGTAATGACGACTCATAAGGTGGAATACGTCGTACAAACGAGGGGCAAGTGGTACTGAAGGACCAAAGCTGCAGTTACATACAACCCATACAATTCAGTACATGGGATGTGAAAGATGGAATGGATGGCACAGCGTTCGGATCACCGCACACAGCCGAGATGGAATGAAGGCAAGTTGCGTCATCGGGCAGATTCGTTTGTTTGGTTCGGATGGTGTTTTTTTTTTCAGCATGGGTCTGGCACAGTCGAAGAGTCTGGAAGCCTGTCCTGATTGACCAAAAAGATATTTTTGTCCTCCTATTCTTCTGTTCCACGCTTTCTGACCGTACCAAAACCGGAAACACCCGAAACATCATGTGGCAGCGGTTTGAAGCGTTTGTTGTAACGCGGTCGCGGTGTGATCCGGAGAGCCCGCGCCGCACGTGTCGCGGTTTGTTTGAGCAATAACGCCACGGGGACGACGGGACGGGAACGGGTAACAAGCGATCATGGCTCATTGCTGTCGCCGGTTGCTGGTGCTTGAAACAGGATCAGTTTTGGGGCGGCCTGTGTTGGTGTTGCAGTTGCAGCGCTGAGTGTTGGTGTTGTGGCTTGCGTGCGTCGCAGTAACACAGTCGCTGGCTTCATCGTCTCAATCCGGCTGGCTGTACAGAGTAGCGATCGCTTTGCTGCTTGGTGAGCATAGCGAGCCCCATACAGCCTGTGCTCAAACGGCTTGTCGCTGTTCCGAAGACAGCATGGCCGATGCAACCTGTCGGCAGTCAGTCGAGAGACAGAAAATGGTGATGTTTGGTGCGTGGTGGAGCAAAATGTTAAGTAAGGTTGTGCTTGGCCTGGGGCATCCGTAGCCGCTCAGCAGCCCACCACTGGGCACTTGTCCCATCATTCCCTTCAACATCAAGTCCTGCTCCATGCTCCACGCTCCATGCTGCATGACCATGTCCATTTTTCCAGCGATCGGCACCGTGCCGAGCCTGAGGATGCAAAACGGACGGGCGAAAGGACTCGGCGGGTGTTTGTGATGGTGTTTGACTGTCGTGCATGTCCGGGCATTGCCTCGACGCTGGATTTGAAGCCAACCTTCAAAGACAGTCAAAGACAGTCGGATTGTCTTTGCGTCTCTGGCAGCGAGTTTTCTTGCTGGACGATGTGTTGTCCAGAACCACGCGAGGCAGGGATCAGGGCTCGAGCTGGTGCAAGGGCCGATGCGGCCAATCTGGAAGGGGTACATACGGCAAAAAGGGGTGGGCCGCTGGAAGGAGGGCCGATTTCGAAGGTCCTGAGTCGGCACAGTCGGTAGATAGTGAGGTACCTTGGTACCTTGAACGCAGGTACCACAGCTACCTACCACTGCATCAAACATGCAATTCAGCTCAGCTCAGCCCAGCCGGGTCCGTTTTTTTTTTTTTTTTTTTGATGTTGGAAGAACAAGACCAGATGTTGAAGCCATGGTGAACATGACTGGACGACAGTTTTTGATGATCCCGGCCTGCCGGGCACAAGCTTCGCGGCTGAGAAGGGATGTGAGGAACCCGACCCAAAGTCCCGGCTCCCCTGGCTGCCTTGGCTCCCCTGGATGACGCCCAATGGGAGAAGGGAGTGGTCAGTCAGATCGAGGAGCTGGGCCTTCGATGCTTTGTGCCTACTGTGAGCCGTGTAGCAAGTTCTCCGCCAATGGAAGTTTGGAACTTCCAGACTGCGACCTCCAATCTCTCTCCATTGGGTCGCGAAATTCCCCCTTTTCTGCCTCTTGCACATCAGGGACTTTTTTTTCCCGCAACACGATCGCACATCTTGTGTGTCTTGGACAAAGTCATAGGTTCCTACTCCCAGAGAAAAATCAAGCCTCTGCACCGCTATCGCTATCTATTTGGTGAAGTCGGCGAATGTGCAGCTCCACTGGACTGGATTGGATCGCGGAGTAGCACGCGGCGCAGGCAGCGGCGGAGACCAGCACGGACCAACAGTACGCTAGCGCTACAGCACAGGGCATCGGCCAACGAGAGGCTGGAGAACCAACCCTTCACAAGCCCACCTCGCAGATCCGCCCGGGCATCCAACTACTGGTCGCTCACTGCTCTCAGTGGACGCCCGCCCACGCATGCCCACAACGCGCATGCCCGGGCTCGGCTGATTTCGCACGAGACCGACTGGGTCCCTGCTCTGTTGGTCCCTGCTCGCTGCACAGGGCCACGGCTGCGCAGCTGCACGCACCTCACAGGCCACAAACCAGGCACAGGTACAGGCACAGGACACAAGAGAAGCCCAAAGCAGGAGAAGGAGGGTCACACACCACACTCGAACACACGCCAATCCCCGACCCCGACTCGCTGCCCGGCTTTCCCCCATTCGTCGACAGCGTTCCTGATTGCTTGCCGCGAGCCGTGGCAACGCGGGAGATTGGAGAAACTGGTAGATTGCGCACGAGCAGAAGCAGAAGCAGAAGCAGAAGCTGAGAAAAGAAAGCGAGAGCAGAAAGAAAAAGCGATAGCAGAAAGAGAAAGCGTTAGCAGAAAGCAGAAAGCAGAAAGCAACAGCGGTAGCGGCAGCGACAGCGGTAGCGGCAGTGGCAGCGAGCGCTCCAGAAGGCATTCTAGTTTAAGTTGCATCCCACCAACCGCAGACGCAGACGCAGACGCCAGAACGCCAACAGTGCCCAGGTCGAAGGATACGTACCAGGCAAGCGAGCCAGAAGAGGAGCAAGCACCAAGCAGCAGGGGGAAAAAAAAGTAGCAGCGTGTGTAGGGATACTTACACGGAAGCAGCAAAAAGAGCGCCAGAGCCAGCGAACCAGCATCCAGAAAACCAGGAGAGCAAAAGCAGAAAGGAAAGGGCCCGAAAGCCATCGTGCTCTCAGCGCCCTCACAGGCCACACACAGGCCACAGGCTCCCCTCCATTCGGCTGCCGCGCTGCTGCGGGCTTCGGGGCTGCAGTCGTAGCAGTCCGTCAAGTCGGTCCATTCACCACTGTCATTGGTGACCGTCAGCCATGTCCTCCTCCTCCTTCTCCTCCTCCTCATCCCGTCCCGCCGCTACTGGAACGCCGGCTCCATCAACCTCCATTCCCTCAATTCCACCCGTACCATCCTACCCACCACCTGCCGATCCCTTCGACCCTCTCTACTCGTCCACCCCGCCAACCGCCGACTTTATCGGCGCTGCTTCCTCATCCTATTCCTATCCTTACTCTTCTCCGTCGCCACGAACCGTCACGTCCACGTCCATCTCGCATTCGCACTCTACCCGTCTTGGCAGCCGAGACTTGGGCAGCGCCGGCGGGACTGCCCTGCCCCGTCTGAGGAGCCAGTATTACAACTACGACGGCGTCGACGGCAGCAGCAGCAACAGCAGCAGGAACAGATCGACCGCTGCATTCCACGGCCATCACTCCCGAGAGTCGTCGTCAGTTCATATCGCCTCTGTGGCCGCCAGCCCCCCGCGCACTGCATCCCTCTTACCTCCCGCGCGAATCGTCGTGGGGGAACCAACCCTTATCGAAGCGCCGCCGCTCCTCCGCGACCCGTTCAATGACCCTCGACCGGCTCCCAAAGTCCCGGACTCGGCCAAGGAACACAGAAGAGGACGCTCCCGGTCAAGCAGCGGCACAGGCCTGAACGACAGTCTTCGCAACCTCAACCGCTGGTCCGCTTCAACCGCCTCGAGCCGCGCATCCGGTCTTGCCAACTTCTCTCGACGCCTCAGCGCCGACATCTTGAGTGGCGCTTTCCACTCCCATAGGAACAGGCCTTCGACCTCGAGCAGCTCGCCACGCTCTAGCCCTCGGTCCGGTCGCCGCAGCCCTTCGCCGGCCAATAACACATCGTCATTCCCGCCGCCACGGAGCCTTCCTCGTATCTCGACCGGTCCGGATCTGGCACATGAGGTTCTGGGGTCGACTATAATAGGAAGAACACTTTCCCCCACTGCAGAGGAGACGCCGAGGCAAGAACAGCATAGGGACGATTGGGACAACAACACGCGTGCTTGGGATCAGGAGCCGGCATACTCTCAACAACACCAAGGAGAGCAGTCTATCACAGAAGCACAGCAGCCATCTGTCGAGCCGGCACCAGAGCCTGGTATGGCTTACACGCACAACGGACACGGCCATCACGGCCATCACGGTCATGGGCGCGGCGGCCACGAGGCCGGCCACTCGCACATTTACTCGGCGGCCACTCACCACGGCAGCGAAACGATGGGATCAAGCAGTAGAGAAAGGGACCGTGAGCGGTCTCATCGCACACCGTCGCAGAAGACCATATTATCCAAGGCGCTACACAAGGCAAATACCGCTGTTAAGCTGGATAATGCATACAATTTTGAGGGTGCTCGAAAAGCCTATGCCGAAGCTTGTGCTTTACTTCAGCAGGTTTTAATATGGGCCACGGCAGAGGAGGATCGCAGGAAGTTGGAGGCGATTGTAAGTTGTCCGGGCCCCTCCTGTTGGCTGGTAGAAGCTAACGGCGTACAGCATGAGACATACCTTAATCGGGTTATGGAGCTTGACCAGATCCTTGTTGAGATGCAGGAGACACAACCCCAGGAAAAAGAGCTCCCCCGGCGCCCCGATAGCGAAGACCTTGATAATGTCTATAACGAGCATGCGGCTTCGGGTCACCACGACTATGCGAACACATACGGACCTGCGGGCCAGAGACACTACGAGACGGATCACTATCAACATCACTACTATCATGCACAGGCGTCTTCATCAAGGCTGCAACAATCCTACAATGCGTCGTCTACCAGCCATGGCCCGGAAACAAACCATAGGGAAACACGCGCAGGCTCTTACCTAACTTCACAATACTCACTCCAGTCGCAGTTCTCCAAGTCCAGGTACAATGGGTTAACATCGCGCACGACAATGGACAACTCGTATATGCCGCCCCCGCTGTCACCTGGGCGGCCGCTCTCGCCTCTTAGCAGGCATTCGCCAAAGCCGCCGGAGCATGAGAGCCCCAGGAGAAATGCTCATGCTGAGACCTCGACTTCCGGGCACCAGCATGGTCAGCACTTGGCTCCCGGTCATCCGGCCGACCACCATCGGACAAACAGCCACGAGTCGGTGTCCTGGCTTGCCCCCATCGACGAGTCGGATCATTCGAGTGAGTCATCCGTTCACTCCAGGTCGTCCTCACGAATCCGCAGGAAGCATCTGCGTGCCCCGAGCGGTGCTACCGAGGCCGAGTTTGATGCCGCGCTGGACGATGCCATCGAGGCTGCCTATGACGATGGATACGAACCAGAGACCGATTACCCCGGGCCCGTGTACCAAAACACCTCGTCTGTCCCTCCGCCTACTGCCCCCGTGGACCCGGTTGCCGCTGCGATGCAGAAAGTTGAGATGGCTAGGCAGATGGTACGGGAGTCTGAGCGTGAGGCATTGGAGTTGGCCAACGAGAGGGAGCGGCGGTTGCGAGAGCAGCAGCAGCTGGACGATAGGGAGCACAAGAACCAGGAGGCTATGGGAGGTAGTAGGACTGATGATTTCTATGATGATGGAAATGACTCGGAAGAGGAGGAGAGGATCCTGGAGGCGCTCACGAAGGGCCATTCGATCGAGGATTTCATTATCAATGGCCAGCCTCAGTCGTCCGTTCCTCGCGAGTCCGATTCGAGTGGCCTTAGCTCCCGGACCTGGCACAGCTCGATGGGTTCGAATCCGCCTACCGCGACTACCGTCCTTACTCCTGTCAGCGAAACTGGCATCCCTCCTCAGCCGACCGTTCCTGTACCTGCGTTGCCTACGCAACCGCCACCGCAAGTGCCGACTCAACAGCAGCAGAGTGTTCGCGGCCGCCGTCTGTCTGGGCAAAATGCAACGCAGCTCAAGATCGAGACGAGCAAACTTTCTGGTCCGTCTGCTCCGCCGCCAGGGCCTGCCACGGCTGGACCTACCATGTCAGCTTCTCACCCCTCAACAGGCAATTACATCGCGCAGCAGCGTCAAGCCCTCTCTGCCGGCCCGAGCCGCACTGTTGGGCCATTCTCATCGAGGCCCACCCCGTCCCCGGTCCCCGGTGTCCCCGAGAACGAAGTCGCCCAGCCGGAGCCGCTGCCCCCAGTCGCTGTCAATCAGCAACAGCAAGAGCAGCCTCAGGAACAGCCACGCGTCGGCACCCCGTCGATCGTTCGCCCCAGCCTGCGCAAGAACTTCTCGTCGTCCAGCCTCAAGTCCCTGCGCACCCGTAACCACTCCATCTCTCACCTGGAAGAATCCGAACAATCCCCCAGCACCCCTCTCAGCACGCACTTTTCGACCTCCCGGCTCCCCGCCGTCCCGTCCATCCCTGCCTCGATCAAGTCCTCGGTCACCAACAGCAGCCTTGCCTCCTCCAACTCCAGTACCAGCGCTAACAACACCAACACGGCCGGCCTGCACCTCTTCGACAACCACTTCCACTCCCCCGACCGTCCGGGCTCTCCCAATCCCTCCATCCCCGACGCCCCCGTCCCGCTCGAACCCTGCCCTACTGAAGCCCTCCTCCGTCCCTTCTGGCTTATGCGCTGTCTCTATCAGTCCCTGTGCCACCCCCGCGGCGGGTACCTCAGCAACCGGCTCTTCATCCCGCGCGACGTCTGGCGCGTCAAGGGCGTCAAGCTCAAGGCAGTCGAGGATAAGATTGCCAACTGTGACTTGCTGACTGCTGCGTTGCAAAAGTTGGCCCGGGTGGATACGTGTGATGCGGATGCGGTCTTGGAGGAGATGCAGGCTTTCGAGGGGGTTTTGGAACAGGTGCAGGCTGCCTTGGCACGGAAACTTGGGAATGAAGTTGGGGTTAATGGGACGGCGAGCTTGTTTAGGGAGGCTGCTGTCCTGGATGCGATTAATGGGGAGGGGGGTGCCGCAGGGGGTGTGCCGAGGTCGGCAAGTTCGGCTGGGAAGGGAGGGTTCTCGTGGAGAAAGTTAAGGAATAAGGGGAGTAGTGCGAATTTACCCGCCAGCGGGTATTCCTCTGGGAGGGGAACAGCTGGTGGTGCGGGGGGTAGTTCGGTGAATTTGGCTGGGCAGCAGAGTAAAGATGGAAAGGATGCGAAAGAAGGGGTGTTGATGCCCAGTCTGCCGATGACGGCCCATCCGACCAGTAGACCGCCGAAGAGAGATGTCAATAGTGTGTCGTTTGCCGGGCCGAACGCGAATTATATGGCTAGCTTGGCGAGGCTATTTGATGCGGCGCAGACAGTTGGTAAGTTTTTTTTTTTTTTTCCTTTTTCTTCTATCACTCGCACACTTTGGTAATCGAGGAAGGGATGGCTGACAGAAGGTTGGCAGATGCTATAGCACGACAAGTCGACGACCCGGGCTTACGGCACGCGGATAAGACGCAGGTTGGCCTGGAGCTGTGCACGCGGCATGCGGCGGACTTTTTTGCGTTTTATATTTGCCGGTTTGTGCTGTCCGATTTGATGCTCTTGATGGATAAGTTTATTAAGAGGGGAAGTGAGTGGGTTTTGATGTGAGCGATAGGGATTACGAGGCAGGATGGCATGATATAGTTATAGATGCAATGGTGATGATGGGGTTTATGAAGAGCGAGGAGGGTGAATACTTGGCTAGAGATGGCCATGTGCATGGGGAACGGGTTGAAAGCACAATGATTGATGGTGACATGATGGTATCTGGCGTTGAGAGGTGGTGTTAAAAGGAGAGAGCTTGGGGTTGACAGAACGTTTTGACTCACCTTCCCGTATATACCTTTCTGGTGAGCAGGACGGAGAGTAAAGAAGATCATCAATCTTCATTTATTTGTTTATTTATTTATTTTCGTTTCTTTTTTTTTCTTATTTATTTACGTGTAGCTCAGTTGGCAAGGGCCTGTACACTATTTAATTATTCGTATGTACTTAGGTACTAACTACTACATACGTATAATTTTGTCAGCGCTGAGTGAATATATGTAGAATTAGATTCGGCTCCAAATGTTTTTTTTTTCTAGCAATGATCCTTGTGGTGGTGGTGTTGCTATTATTGATCAAGGGGGCCCTTTCTGGCTATTCAGACTGTTCCCCTCGGATAAGATAAGGACCGGGTGGTGGGCTGGTCGGCCCGCGTAAATGCGGGTCCGATTTTTGGAGGTCCTCGACTTCATCCCGACGACGACCCTGACGACACCGACGACAGCGGCCCAATCTTGCCGCACAATATTGAGACAAACTACCACTGAAACTGTGCTTTTATGTCCATATACTGCGCCAATTGATGCTGCGGGGCGTGTCGGGCCTCGAGTCACGGATGGGAACATGGGCGCGGCCGCTCTGGAGGGCGCCGCTGTTGCGCCAGCGAGCTACATCTTCAGTGGCCTTGGGGGTGTCGAGAGAAGGTAGTGCTACGGGGGCGAGGGCGAGAGCGTTGAGTTTTGCCTCTACGGTACGATACATCCAGCTACAGATTGAGGGGAACCTCCTACTCTCTCGGGCCCTCACGACTGCCAGGACAACAACAGTCGCGCAAGTCCGCTCCGCCAGCACCTACTCCTACGCCCGCGACGCCAATGACCTCCGCCTTGCCGAATCTGTCGAGTCCCGCATTGCCGCCATCCCCATCTCCCGCTACCGCAACTTCTGCATCGTCGCCCATATCGACCACGGCAAGTCGACGCTTTCCGACCGCCTGCTCGAACACACCGGCACGATTTCTCCGTCGGGCGAAAACCGTCAGATTTTGGACAAACTAGATGTGGAAAGGGAGAGGGGGATTACGGTGAAAGCGCAGACTTGTACGATGATTTATAAGAATCCTAAAGATGGGGAGGATTATTTGCTGCATTTGGTTGACACGCCGGGACATGTGGACTTCCGTGCGGAAGTTACCAGGTCATATGCCAGCTGTGATGGCGCCCTTCTGCTCGTGGACGCAAGCCAGGGCGTGCAGGCGCAGACGGTAGCGAATTTCTATTTGGCTTTCGCCCAGGGGCTGACGCTGGTTCCTGTCGTCAACAAGATTGATTTACCGACTGCGGATGTCGACCGCGCTCTCGAGCAGCTGCAGACGTCGTTTGAGCTGGACACGTCGAAAGCGGTGCGGGTGAGCGCAAAGACGGGGCAGGGCGTGCCGGAGATCCTGCCGGCCGTGATAGAGAATGTGCCGGCGCCCACAGGAGACGTGAATAAGCCGTTGAGGATGTTGCTGGTAGATTCGTGGTATGATACCTTTCGCGGGGTGGTTTTGTTAGTCAGGGTGTTTGATGGCTGTGTCAAGGCGGGGGATAGGCTGGTCAGTTTTGCGACGGGGAATGAGTATGTTGTTGGGGAGGTGGGGATCAACTATCCGAATCAGGTGCCGCAGAAGGTATTGAGGGCCGGGCAGGTCGGGTACGTGTTTTTCAATCCCGGGATGAAGAAGATTCAAGATGCAAAGATTGGGGATACGTTTACCACGGTGGGCAGTCAGGGAGTTGTCGAGCCGTATCCGGGGTTCGAGGAACCGAAGCCGATGGTTTTCGTGGCGGCATTCCCCACTGATCCGAGCGATTATGCGAAGATCGAGGATTCAATTCATCAGTTGGTGTTGAATGACCGCAGTGTGACGCTGCAGAAGGATTATTCCGAGGCGTTAGGGGCCGGATGGAGGTTGGGGTTCTTGGGGAGTCTGCACTGCTCTGTTTTTCAGGACAGGCTTAGACAAGAGCATGGTGCCGATATCATCATCACGGAACCAGCCGTGCCCGTCAAGATTTCGTGGTCCAACGGCGACCCGGACACGATCATCACCAACCCGGCAGAGTTCCCCGACACCGACGACGTGCGCATGCGCAAGGCTACTACCTACGAGCCCTACGTCCTGGCAACCATCACCCTGCCCGATGAGTACCTCGGCAGAGTAATTGAGGTGTGCGAGAACGCCCGCGGCCAGCAAAAGTCCCTCGAGTTTTTCCACGCCACGCAGGTCATCCTCAAGTACGAAGTGCCCTTGGCCAGCCTGGTCGACGACCTCTTCGGCAAGCTCAAGGGTGCGACAAAGGGATATGCCACGCTGGACTACGAGGACGCGGGCTGGCGAGAGAGCGATTTGTGCAAGATGAATTTACTTGTCAACAAGAAGCCCGTGGACGCGATTGCGCGCGTCGTGCACTCGAGCCAGGTGGAACGGCTTGGCAGACAGTGGGTGACTAAGTTCAAGGAGCATGTCGAGCGGCAGATGTTTGAAGTGGTGATTCAGGCGGCCGTGGGGAAGAGGATTGTTGCGAGGGAGACGATCAAGCCGTTTAGGAAGGATGTGTTAGCGAAGCTGCATGCTAGTGATATTACGCGGAGGAAGAAGCTTTTGGAGAAGCAGAAGGCGGGGCGGAAGAGGTTGAGGGCTGTAGGCAATGTGGTTATTCAGCAAGAAGCGTTTCAAAAGTTTTTGGCGAAATGATTTAGATGATGTATTATTTGTGTCTGTCTACCAGGTACCTATCTAGAGGTGTATATATGGCATGGCTGGCGTTGGGGCTAGAGGGAGACGCTCCCGTGTGTACAATACATGGAATGTTCTCTTGTCAACCTGGACAGTTTGCGGCTTCCCGTTCGTGAAGAGTGGTGAAATGGCATTTGGTTCATGCCCAGGAAAAAGGAGCGTCTAAGGTGAGGATTTTGAGGGTTCCAAGTTTCTTGACTTCTGATCCATCGGCATCCATTAGACTCCGACGCCCTCAGCTTAAAAACTCTCCTCCAGGACCTCCCCCTGTCACCATCGCCACCCCTCGCCATAGCTCGCCCAGATAACCCCTTCTCTCAGCCTACTCACTTGCTTCACCATCACACCATCGCAATGTCCTCCGACTCCAAGCCCTTTACAGTTGGCATAACCGGCATCACCGGCCGTCTCGGCCGTCTCCTCCTCTCCGCCCTCCTCACCTCCCGTCCCAAAGTTCACATTCGTGGCTTGGCCCGCGATCTCTCCAAACTCCCCTCCTCCTTTACCACATGATTAAAGCTAACCTTTATTTTAAGGCGACGCCCTTTCCCTCCTCGCGCTGCGCGAGTTCGTCTCATGGTGCGACGTCGTCGCCTGCTGTTATCTGGGAGATAACAAGTCAATGACCGAAGGTCAAAAACTCCTCATCGATCTCTGCGAAGAATTTGGAGTAGAACGCTACGTGGCAAGTGACTGGTGTCTGGACTACCGCCCCTTACAAAAGGTGGGCTCTAGGTCAAGGATCCTACGAAAGAGATCAAGGCGTATCCGGAGACGAAGGATAAGGTAAAGGTGGTGCATCTGCTGATTGGCAGGTTCATGAACGCGCTGTTGGCGCCGTTCTTTGGACTGTGGGATGGGCAGGATATGGTGTTGAGGTATGGGAAGAGAAAGCAGGAGGTGTAGGAGGGGACACCGTATGAAAATACTTTGCGGTGGCGGCTGTTAAAGTTGAGAAATGTAAGCTTTCCCTTGGGAGTCTTGGCGGTGTGGATAGGGTCAACCGTGATGGCTAACATGAACTTGAGTGGCTGCCGATTGCAAGACGGTGCATGAGATTGTTGCCTCGATTGAGAAGGTGTACGGGGTGAAGGTCGACTTTGGAGCGCACGGGCTCGCTGGAGGAACTGAAGAAGATGCATGTGCAGAGGGCGGCTGAGCCACAGAATTGGATGACTTATATGTCCCTGTGAGTCTCCCTCGATAGTGATGGGTTACTAATGAAGGGAGGATGGTGACTCGACAGGTTTTCACCTATTATTGGCTCAATGGTCAGACTTCGGTTGGCCCGGAGCTCGATAATGACTAGTACCTGCAGGTCAAGGCCGTGTCGTGGGAGGAGTTTCTTACGCGGACGAACGGTAGCCCGATGACTTTTGGCTGATCATATACAAGGAAGAAATGGGCTTGTATATTAGCAGTACTATAAAAATTTATCGCGTTCAAGTTCTCACACTGCGCTGCCCCAGGCTTCTGTATTAGTCTTGATTCCGTTTGTTCAACCTATACCCTATCTTCATGTTTACCTCCGTTTATATTGTTTACTTAAGTTCTCTTCTCCGTCCCACCCTCCCAACTCCCTGGCTCTCTCGGTGGAAGTTTGCCCCCAACCCTTGGTCTCTTTACCCCAACCCCTCCAACTCAACCCCAATGCTCCTCGCCTCAACCGCTAACCGTCGTCCTAACATCCCCGCAACCATATTCCCGCCTTCCTTGCTCATCCTCATCTGTAACAGATTTATCACAAACAGCACATCAGCCCTGCTACGTGCGCTGCCACTTACCACAAAGTCTTCTAAAAAGACTAACCCGGCGAGGTATGCAGCGTAGCCTTAGGATGTAGTGCTTTACGTGGAGGGAGTACTGGGGTCGGGGAGAGAAGTGTGAGTGTGTTGAAGAGGCTGGGGAGGGGGAAAAGTCTTGTCATGCATAAAGTGATGGGTTGGTAGCTGGCGATGGGGCAGCAGATATAGATGATGAGGAGGGGATGTGCCGTCTGGCTTAGAAGTGAAGGCCCATGTGGCAGGAGGACAAGCATCATGGTACAATGACCTCCAAGTCAGTATCTGCCCCGCGGCCGCCAACGTCCGACTTTTGAGCTGCGCTAGCACAAAGCCAAACTCACCGCCTCCTAACCCCATCGTTTGCTTCGCTTGCTGCTGAGCTTTTTAGCAGTCGTTATGTGAAAACTCATTGTCGCTTTATGGGCAAGAAAGCTCACAAACACTATCCGGACTGGCCATGTTCTGCGATAGATGCAGCTTCGGACTCGACAGATGGACAGCGAAGAGGTTAAGGAGGTGTCAAGTGCTTGGTGCCGGGCCCAGTAGGGTGTTGACAGACTTGATATAGGGGAACTAGGGTCTTGGTTGGCAGGGATAGGAACGCAATCAGGCGGAGATTCCAAAAGCGTGGCTTGGTAGAACAAGTGGGTTATCAAGACGCGAGCGGCTAGGCGGCTGCGAAGGACTGGGTCGCCACTTGGATCGTTTAGGGAGAATCAGTGGGTTATCCCGGCTTGCCGGGGGGGGGGGGGATGGCTTGGTGGGAGGTTTTTTCGAGGGCGGGGAGGTAGGTGTGCATCAGTTTAAACTTTCTAGCACTAGGCTCTACCCAGAAAATGAGTTGATTGACTTGTTCACTACTAATTCCCGAAGACAACCCCGACATGGTACAAATCAAGCGATCAGCGACATAAATAACCACCACGTTCTGAGTCTCTCTTCCAGCTCGATCCAGTCGCATAGTGGAGCTGCATGAGAAAGCAAGCTTCGAGCAGGTACTTGACCCCCTTGTCAAGCTAATGGAGGTTTCAGGAGGTAGGCGACGCGGATGTCTCGGCCAATGCTGAGTGATGCTTGGGGGAAGAAGCCGTTCTGGGCTTCGGGGTTTGGGAGCGGCATCCAATATTGGGAGAGGGGGATTGTAAGGGTGTTGCCTTGGTCCTGTGGCTGCCAAATCAGTCAGGGGTCCTTCATGAACGTGGGTGGCTAACATTCGTACCTTTCTTTCCGAATCCTCGGCAAGAGACCCTGCATGTTGGTGCAATTCCTCGACCAAGAACGCATGCGCCGGATCGGTAGTAGTCCTTGTCTAAGTGATGCTAATTACCGCGCTGGGTAAAGCATCGGCGAGCCATGGTAGCCCTCGGGAAGTACATTGAAATGCTGTTGAGCAGGCATTAAGTCAAAGAGAGCTTGTCCCACTCACAGTTCATGTACCAGCTGAGGCGATATCTTCAGCCCTTCCTCGCCAGTCTGGTATTCAGCCCCTAAAGGCAAGGTCCTGGTCCTGAACTCTTTCCTACCCAGCCCTCCGCCTGAACAAACGGACTCGCAGCCCTTACTCCCCTTCCCCCCCCCCCCCCATCAGCCGTGGCGATCGCGGTCTCAGACTAGACACACACCCCCCGCGGGCCGATCCTCCGGAGGCTATATTACAACCCCAGGCGTAACAGGTACATCATTAACCCCCTACCTTCTCACGAACCAATCTCTAACTTCTCCACCTGCGTCTTCTTCTCCTGATAATTCGACCTCTTTGACAAAGGTAGACACTGTCTTCCCCATCCCGACACAGCGCGCATGGCTTTTTGAAGCTAGGCCCGCACCGGACTTTGCTGGACCACCATATTTAGACGCAGAAACAGAGAAAGAGAACAATTCAGACAGATCTGCGTATCAGGCAAGTGTGGGATGTAAATATTCATTTTATTACAAGCTCCGTTATAGGCAAATGGCCAAATTTTAGTCCGAGTATTGCTATAATTAGTGTTGCTGGATCAGCGAAGAAAGATGATACAGAATTGATAGAGAGCGCAACATTTTGGAAATATGAACCGTTTGAACCACAGCTAGCATTTGGGGAGAAAGATGTGTATGGAGAAGAATTACACGGCTGTTATGATGTTGAAGACTAGATGTTAACAGGATAGCCGTAGGGTAAAAATAGCGATATCATTATCCTTTGTTGCCTTCATGATGTGAACATGCTTGGAACTGAACTCTCACCATTACTTACCAGTATATCTCCCTTATCTTACAAGTGGAATTGCCTGCTGCAGTTTCCACCACGCATGCACGGGCGCCACAACTCCGTCGAAGAACCATTGACAGAACGTCCGGGATTGAAACGACGTTTCATCTGCATTTCCCTCAAAATGACGCTGGCACTCCAAACAACGCAGAACCGCCTTTGCATATGTGTGTCCCGCTCTACGCATCACGTCCCTCAACTGACGCCTGGCACGTCTGTATAGGATAGCCTCTCCCAACTCTGGCTGTTGCCCAGACCCCTGAGATACGGGTTGTTCGGTGCGCTCGAGTGGGCTGTCAAGACATAGCTCAATTAAGAGAATTCCTAAGGCGAATACCATCCGGTTGTGGATGAGACTTTGAGATGGACTGACAGCAGATGGTGTCCCCGCTGTGCTCCCAACCAGGACGGCGGAGGATGGGCTTTTGAGAGTACTAGATACACCGACTAGAGGGTTGAAGTATAATTCAGGTTCAGAAGTTGCGCCGAGCCCCAGATGAATAGCATCAGAAGCCATTGAATAGGGGATGTCTCCCTTCAGCCAAGGAGTTCCACAAAGATGGAGGACTGCCCATGCTGCTGCCGCCGCGATTGCAAATCTACTTCGGTTCGATTCCGGTAGAAGGTTTTCGGATAAAGCTCTACCGATAGGCATGAAGTCCATGATTTTATATTGGTCCCGATAGATGCAGCGAAGGATATGAGATTTTGCTTGACTAACGTCCTCAGGGAGAACGTAACTTATTTCTCCTTCTAGGTCAGTTTTATTGGTGTTCTTCAGGAAATCGCATAAGCAATTGATGACCGGAACACTTGAATGAATAGCATTATGAGCTGCATGTAGATGTGATGTTAGTTAACTGTTGAATTAATGCATTCGATGAGAGGGATCATACCAGTTACGGTGGTCATAGTGGCTGTTGAATGAGGTCCTTGTTGGTCAGCCCGCCTTATAGCTTTGCTTCCGGACGATTGGAGGTATTCAGGCTGGGAGGTAAACGAGACCTCGGAAGCTTTTTTGTTCTGCGGTAGAAAAAGGTTTTTTTGATTGGGAACCGTTGGGTGATTTGACACAGCCCCGGACTCCTTAGATCCAATGACTTGTTTGACTTCAAAACTTATAGCAATTGTGTGCCATTTCCTGCGTGAGAACTGGTCCGAAGTGATCGTAATCTCGAATGCCAAGGCCTCTGGCACCCTTTGGCCAATACAATTTTCGTCATCGCTAGTATGCCAAAGGGAGATCATGTTGGCTGTATGCTCGAGACACTGGCAGCGCCAAATCCGAGTACAGGCATTGTAGATACAGCTAGCAGCATCCCGTATTCGCTGACATTCTGCGATATCAAACCGACTCTGAAGTTCCCTGACTGGCGAAGGCGTATTATCCGAGCTCGGAGCATCCAGTATTAGCTCTCCGTCCGTGTTCTCGAGAAGAAGCAAAGAAAGCGCTCGGTTCCATTCTTCCAAGTCAGTAAGTAGTTTTGTTCGTGCTTCCCGACGCAAGGCATATTTAATGCGCTGATAATCCCAAACCATGCGCTTCCAAAGGTTGTATTTCCAACTCGGCTTTATCTTGCGGCTCGTCAGCTGTCATATCATAACAATGCGGATTTAGGCTCAATATCCACTGAGGGAAAGCCATCTTCCTCGACTTACGTAGCCTTTTTCGAGCGGCACCAGCTTAGTAGTGAGCTCCTGGATTCTATCCTGTATTAATTTCACTATTTCCAGGACACTGGCCGACGATCCAGGATATTTCACTTCCACAAAGGCTTCAAAGTCAGAGAAAAGAGGGAGAGATCTCACATGCTTCTCCAAAGCGGATGGGCTTGTGATCTTATTGCTCAATCTGATTGGAAATCCGGCTT